ACTAGGCTAAAAATATATCTAGAAAACGAAAATAAAAACAATTACTTTTAATTTGTCCACGTCGTTAGCTATAAGTAATGGTAAAGGAAAGTTCTATAAGTTTGTGTACTTATGTGTATTTGTTCATCCACTTCTAGGTTGGCAAGATTGCATTGTAGTAAAAAACTCGAAATTCAGCGTAGTGTATATGTTATACACGTATGTTTACATAACCTTTTGGTCGGAAGCCACATTTTTTACGCGAAAATGCCGGCAGATTTAGGCAGGTTTAGCGTTTATCATGGTAGTTATAATTTCTGTTGTTTTTGAATTCTATTGTTATGAATTTATAACGTAGATACTCCGATCTGTAAAATACAGTGAAATAAAATTTCTGTTTGAGCTTTAGCTGATTAAATCTTTAATTCTGCAATTAAATTTCTACTTATGTAAATGAGAAAATCTACTGATTCAAAAATTGAGTTATCTTATCGATATTTAGAGATTTATATACGCAAACTAGGAATAAACTGAAAATTATACACTGTATTACAGGCAAAAGTCTCGAACTTAACAAATGGTATTAGCAATTTATTACATTTTTTAAGATCCTAAATTTTAAACAATGGAATGTGCTATAAATGCATCAAATCTGCAGGCCACTTATTATTCAGAGTTGGTTGCTTTATTGTTCATATGAAACCATAAAAAATCGGTGGAATCAGTATTATTCAATTTAACTGTAGAACTAAAAAGTCGGACATAATGTGAAACTGATCACAGAATCTAGCTTAACTTTGTAAATGGATGAGAAATTATTTATTATTGTTTTTATGATTTATTAGGTTCCTACTGTGAGAATAAATCAGGGCACTAATGACAAAAAATTTGAAGTGAAGATTTGCTAAACATTTATATTCTTCGTACGAATGAAGTAATACGTATGTATAATGAATCATGCAAATAAATGATTAAACATCTATACGTTAGCTATAAATATTATTAGTAATAGTTCTTTATACTGTAGCACATAACAATTGAATTTAACATTTTTTACCTATTAAAACTGTTTATAAACACTTGTTCAATTTTAATGTCTTTCAAAGTTAATTTAAAACCTGCAAGTAAAATTATTCAGATGTATTTTTTAATTTTACATCATGTATTCTGTGTCAAACACGAATTTCTGTTTTGTCATATATTTCGAGTGAGAATTACTATAAATAATACAATTGTCAAAATACATACGTAAATACAAATGTAGACGAAAATTAAAATTAGACAAGTTTAAATATTGCACACTAAATTTTACTTATTACTTTCATTAAATATTTTTCCATAATTAAATGAATATTATTTTGAAATAAGTTCATATATTGTTTGAGTTACTACGTATATGTGTTCGTAGAAATTTCCAAGAATATACAAAAACAAATACATGTAAGAATCTGTGTACTCAGACTTATATACGTAGCATGTACCTATATGTATATGTATAATAATATGACTGTCAGAAAATTGTTCACTCATTAATGTATGTAGATTATCTGTTTCTGATGTATGAACCATTTAATATTTCTTCGAGTAGTTTATTACAGTTTCTACGAACCAATTTGTACAAATATATATATATATATATATATACAGAACATATTATGAATTACACCCTTTAATTGGTGATAATTTATAGCATCTTGATTACTGAGGTATTTATTAATATTAAACAGTAATAGTACAAATGCAATTCGTTATAATTCTTTCATGAATTTTCTATCCTTAAATTATATAAATAAAATTTCCCTGTAGTATTAAATAAATTATTTTCGATGCAATACATAGTATTACAGCTGATTAATGATTTTTGATATAATAATAAATATGATATAAAATATTTTAAATGCCACCGTCTCCCTTAAGATATAGTATGTTTGGAGAATAACGTTTGTAATGTACATGATATCAGTTATTGAAGTAACGAGACGCAGTAATTGAATAAAAATTTATATTATGATTTATATATTTTAAAACCCATATTATTCAGTATCTGAGTCCTGTGAGTAATGTAGGGTATTTTGTAACGAATTTTTCATAGTTTATGTAGTTTCAATTTAAACGTAAATACTAACCAACAATTATTTGTGATTTTCAATAATTACGAATTACTTAATCTAAATATAGAAAACATTTATCTTGTTGCTATTCACATTTAATTATATTTTACTCGCAAAAGACGATACCTATAATATAAATTTGAACTAATAAAAATGATTATTTTGATAGCTTCGTAAAAGAGTATCGGGCAGGTTCTATAATTCTATCAAAACATTCCGTCTATTAAAATTTATATCATAACTACTTCAAAATTTTCAACGAAACTGTAGTTGTAAAGTTGGTGGTAAAGTAATGGTTACATTGCTATATAGTTTACATACACATGGATCTAAGTAATTTCTATTTTAAATGTTAAAAAACCGAACCTTTTATCACATTATAAGACAATTGATAAAACTACATATTCTGCAATTACAGTAGAAAACTAGTAACTTTAATGTATGTAAAAGACTATTTACATTGTATATTCCACCAACCTTACATACTAAGATTAGTTTAATAGGAGCGACTCCACATTACGTGACCTATTTTTCCAATTAACACTTCATTTTTCTCCTTTCCTTCGGGTACACACACGTTATCGCATCTAATAATAGAATCATTATTATCCTGATCATTACACGATAATAGAGAAAACTGAAGAAACAACACCGCTTCTCTCAATTTGCAAAATTCTAAATAACCCTAACTCAAAAACATTCCTACCACGGAGGAATTTCATTTTCCGTCGTTTCATCGTTAACAATACTTGCCTAAACGCGACCACAGAAACCCGTATTCAATCGCTCAAGCATCGTCCAAATTAAAAATTCCTTGTTTCAGGAAACATAAAACCCCAGAGTCGAAGAGGTGCTTTCCAGTCGATCGAAATCCCCCGGCAAGAATCTCATCTGCACAGCCTCTGGCCATCGTTGTCCACGACAAGGATCGTCGCGCGATGTGTTGTAGGTGCACAGGTCCGACGGTGTGCGTGCATCTTATCGTTAGACACACCCCTGCCTCCACGAAACCGACACGGCTATGCTGACGACCGTGGGCGGGGGGGGGGGAGTGAGGGGAGGCGGGAGAAGGATACCAGAAAACTATCCCTGTGGAGCAGAAGTGGGAGTCGAATCGCGAAGAGAGAAACCAGCTAAGACGAATGGAAGCGAAGAGAAAGATAGATAGATAGATAGATAGATAGATAGATAGATAGAGAGAGAGAGAGAGAGAGAGAGAGAAATAGTCTAGGTGCAGACGAACCGTAGGCTGACGGTGGATGAAAGGGGTTGGATGGACCACCAGGCGGCGAAAACGGAGAAGGAGGGCGCGCGCGCGCGATCGGAAAACAGAGAAGCCGAGGGCCAACAGAGGGAAACTTAAAGGAAAACACGGGAGAGAAAATAGCCGAAGCAACGCGGAGGATTGGTAGAGAAAGGACCCAAATGGATGAGCTAGAAAGAGAGGATGGAGAAGAGAGTAGAGGTGAGGATCAAAGAGGATGACGAGATTGTGGGAGGGATGAGGAGGAGGAGAATGCTGCAACGGATGACGAAGGCGGCTATGAAGGGTTTGAGGGTGAACCATCCGAATAGAGGACCAGGATGGTCCTCCGGCTGTGGGCGATGGTAGCCACCGCCGGTGTCGAGGTGGTGGGGTGACAGCGACGGCGGGTAGGGCGTCGTAGGGGCAGAACCAGCGCCGCGACGCCACGGCGTGCACAGTCGCGGCTCGAACGCCGTCCCATACGAACGTGTTGTCCCCGCGCGGCTCGTGCGCTCGGTTCTTCGGCAGCCGTGTTACGATGTTTCTGATTAGCCCGTTTTAAGGTCAGGATTTCGCAAAGAAAAAAATAAAAAGTAAGAAAATCGGGATCGACAGTAACCGTTTATCGGAGACTACCTGGACTTTCTCGAGGATCATGGGATTATGAATATTGCCGGGGGAATGTAAACGGAGAGAGTGGTTCGTTGAAACGATGTTGTAAAGATTGACAATTGTGAGATCGTTTTCGTAATCGAATTTATCGATCCTCTAACCGTGTGACGTTTGTGGACCATGTCGCGAGGCTTTTGATACTCGATGACATTTCACAAGACTGAGGATCGTTCGGAATCACACGACCACTTGTTAGGCCGAGAGTTCGCGATTTGCTGATCTGATTTTCTTTCGACAAGTAATTCTGTGTATTTTATAACTACATTTTTTTTTCACGAGTGGGGTATATATCCGTTGATAGTGTTTCCGATACGAACGGTGAACATTTAGTAATACGTAGAGAGCGGCCGAAGACGGTTTATTTCATTGGAACGGAATGAAGTGTCAAAAGTCGATGACAACCGTGTTTGTTGTACAATTAATATTAGTTTCGTATGTTTAGTGCGGAATCGAGTTACACTTGGGGGTCCGTTTTAGTCAAGTATCGAAGACCCAGTAGGATCGTTCCGGGGACACGTGTGTGCAAAGCCATATCCCAAAGCCGGCGATCTCATCGATTCTTACGATCGATATCCGTTTGATTCGTTCTTAATAACGAGAAATATCGCGATAACGAGATCCGAACAGTAACTTTGGTCACGATATATGGTCGTCGAGTGTGCCAGAACTATGAAAACTCGAAATCGAAGTGCATGAACTCGATTTATGCATGATATTACCGGATCGACTGCAATAATTTCTAGGGCGTAGAGAACAAAAGGTATGAATCCTGTTTATTGAAGTATGGCTGTGACCCGCGACACGCTGAGCGATTTGCATTCGTATTCGTAAGGAAGTGTATTGAAAACAAAAAATTAAAGAAACTTCGTTCGCCGATCCATGACACGTAGGAACTGATAAAAATCCGGTGAGAATCAATCGAAGCAATAGGTGATTATAGTGTGATTTTAAAAATGGCGGCGACTTCCGAGTCCCGGGACAATTATTAAGAGACTCTCTACGGTGGAATGGATTTTCAGAGCGCTATGGACACGTTTGTAGAGGCATGGATGGCTGCTAACACGAAGACGGATCAAGTACAGGTGAATTATACGTATAATTATATTTTAATAATTGTTATTAATTGTACAAGGTAGCTGGTTTTAGTATTTTCTTTCTTGTCGAAATTGTATACATTGGAGTAACGATTCTACTAATGCACTAATTTGTATGATCGCATTCGTAACAACTAAGTTCACATCTGCGGATAGCGTTGTCGAGGAGCAACCCCTTACATTACACAGCCAATTTGCTACCCTACCAACTTCTGCCCTCTTGAGCACTTTCAGCTCATCGCCTAGTTAATTCCACGATATCAATTTGCCACTTTCTGCCACATCTCAGAATGTTCAATGAGACAAATGATTTTGTAAGATTCTGGAAAAAAGAAAAACTAGTGCCATTATGATTATCTTATTGAAAAATTGATATATGTATTATGAATAAGTAGCACTTTATAAACAGCACGTTAATACACCTTATTTTGATAATATATATTCTATAATATCAATAGCATGTAAGTTTGTACTTTAATTTTTGTAACTCTAGTTCAGAAAATACTGCTGTATTATTAACAGATATTAATGATACTTCAAAATAAGATATTCGAGAGTAATAAGAATTAATGAAACAGAATATAATGTATAATCTATTCGAATACTTGCTTAGTCAAATTGTATAATTTGCGATAATACAGTATTGCGTTTCATTATTCACCAACAATTTGTTATTTGAAGCAAAGATTAGTCTCAAAATAGTAATATACAATTCTAGTTAATAACTGAATCTTCTATGAATGTTAATCACGAAAAATGTAAAAAAATTAGAGTGCAAGTATAATAAATAATTACTTTCTTTATGCCTCAACTTATAGGAGCCCACTTCTAGTAAAATAAGGCAGTAGATTCAAAATTTTATTCAATATTCGGTATCATTTAGAAACTTCTAACAAAATAACATTTAAAATAATGACATTTGAAGTGTATTTCCAAGTAAAAAGTCACACCGATCGAGTGTTCAGAGCGTATCATTCTCTGGAAGGGTCGGCGTGGAAAGTCAAGACCGTTGAACGTCCACATTGAACGTTCTAAAATTTCCGAGAGTTAACCGGGGCGTTGGTGAAGAGAGGGTTGGGAGATAATCCTTGGTAAAACCGCGGATCGTATGTGTTGCGTGGACGGGGCATACGTACCTTTACACGTGTACGTACCGGGGGGTCACGGGTTCTGACCACGATACGGATGTGCCCCTGCCTTCTTCCTGTGCCACGACCACGTTCACGTTCTGGCATTCAGTGTAATAAGACCGTATCTCCATTGACCAGTCGATCTTTTGATCGTCGGAAACTTCTGATTTTCATTCCTGAGCCCGTTGCATTCTCTGTCTTTATAAAATCGTGTACGTATTATTGTTTCCATTTAGCCATTATCGACTGCCGTCGCATAAAAACATTTAATGTATATTTCCAAATACTTGAATATTGTAAATATTAATAATTAGTCCGAGGTATTTTATTGTAATAATTTTATAGATGTGAATTTAGAAAAAGAATATTGTTACCCACTGGAAGAACAGATTAGTATTTGCTTTATAAGTAGATTGCAGATCTTCATGGACATTTTGATCGTTTCAAGATTATTACATTAGATTCGTGGAAAATAAATGGCCGTTTGAATATGTTACGACTCTGTTGTCCTTGTTATAATTGAGAAATATGAAGAATTCTTATTCATTCTTATGTATACCAGATACAAAAATTATTTACCATAAACATCCTTCAATTGTTTTTAAGGCGGGGGGAAGATTAAAGTTCCTACAATTCAAATAAATTGCAGTAGTCAGAAATTTCATTCGTCTCTGTAAATATACAGGGTCCTAGCACTATAGGTATGAATGGTAATCGATTATTATTTCCTGTTAACTGAATATAAAACGTCAATTAAATTAAAGATTATATTCTCAGTTAAACGTTTTGAGAATTGTTCTAAATACAAGTTTTATTAAACTTTCTTTCAGCTTTTTATTTTATTACGTTCCGCACTATACATACATTTACGAGTCCATCCGTTACCAACTATTATAGTGGGTGATCAAATTATAAGAACCACAATACGAAGATTTGTTTTTTTGTATTTGTGTAGAAATAAAATCACAATAGGTTTTTTCACTGGATATGTTTTATTTAACAATTGTCTACTGGAATAAACACCACAATTAAACTTAGCCTATGTAATTATAAAAAATACAGTTAAAATCATGAAATCGTCAATTTATGTAGATCGCTCTAATAATAATTTGATCACACATTGTACTTCGAAAGAATTTTGAAGTTGTACCTTTGAAGCGTATAAATATTGTAAACACTTGACAGTGATAATTTTAAAACACAAGTTCTAATATAACAATGGATATTCTCTCCAATAAGTCCACGTTCTCCATACAACACTTTTCTCACTGAATTCCATACATCAGAAGCAGCTGGAAATATATTTTTCGTGCTTTGATTCATTTTTCGCATACTTTCATGCTTCAAGAAAACGCATAAGCCTTGAAGTATTCCTGCATCGGTGTAAAGCAAACTGTCGGATCAAAAGTAATTCCATAATGCTGTTACCCGATCTGCTGTGGTGTCGTGAGATTTCTTCCCTTGGCATAATCGTTCCTCGCGGAGTTCGCGAACAATGATTTTTCCTTAACAAACACGAGAGGACAGAATACTGGCCGGGGTTTTAGAGGTATTATAGAGGAGTGTTTACCGAACGTTCGGCTTGGTCCTTCCCCTCCTACAATTCGGGTACGGTGTAACAGGCGTTTGACTTCCGCTGTTAAAAATGGAGGGGAAGACGCCCGGGGCAGGGCAATATACATATAACACGGCGGGTCTAGTTTTCGTGTGTAAATAGATTACAACTCCTCCCTTGATCGTTAGGGCGAATTCATAATTGATAGTGCACCCTGGCGTGCGAACATTATATGTATAGTTGCTTGCAGTGTGAATTGACGTACCTGTGCGTTGCCAGAATTTGCTAATGAAGCTTTTAAAAATATTTCAGGCTAATTTTGGATGGTTTGTAAACATAATAATCTATATTACAAGTAATTCATTTTTCAAAAATACGAAATAGATTTGACACACTACGCGACAGTTGTCTTATTTTCCATAATAATGTTACTTAGTTTGAAAGAATAAAAATTAATAGTTTTACTTACTCTAAGAAGGACATTACTTTTTTCCTCGTGTCTATTTGTCTTCATTAGTAATTATATATAATATTCTGTTGAACTTAAAATGTACCCTCTGCGACCGTAGGATACTATTTGGAATCATTAACTTACTTCACTTTTATAACTAATATTATGAGCCTGAAGATTCAATATGACATCGTATCATGCAGTTTAACTTTTTGCAATTAGATAGGTACATTCTCGAAAATAATATTTGGAAATTGTTTAGTGAAAGTTCGTTTTTGTTTAAGACCCATTTCTTGTATACCTCTTTTTTTAATTGTTCTGTTTTCTTGACATTCAAGGAATAACTATGTACAAGAAAATACTTTTGATTTGAAAGACATAATTCAGGTCGGAAAGGATTAAACAGAAATTTCGAGAGGTTACGTTTAAAATAAATGTTTTATTGAGCCTTTGTTAACGTTTTTATTTTAACGTCTTTTACACACCTGAATGTGCCATGAATGTTCAAGATTGTTAATTCTTTGATGGATCGATAGATTTAGATTCTTGATCAGATTACATCTTTGATTAGAGGTTGTAAATTTTAAATATTGTCTTAAGAACTGTGTGAAAATTTGAAGTACAGTATATAATTATACAAGAGTTGCCGTGATGTTTAGTTCTCCCACTTTCACGTTTTTATAAGTGTTTTACTTCAATATGCCGCTGAAAACAAACTATCGACTTGATCAAACTTCTATTTCTACTACATGTCGTAGATACTGTGACATGAAACATGGATAACTATAAGTTGCAAAGGAAGTAAATGTTTCCTCTCAATTTTATAAAAAAATAAATCTTATTTGAAACATTCCCATAGAAAACAGAAATTAAATAAAAACATATCACCTCAGTGAATGATCGTGCTACATAAGGAGGAAAATGTAGTCTATGTTACACTGAATTAAAGTTGTTATTTTACAGTGTTTCAAAGGCATAAAATCCGCTTTTAGTTATTGTTCAGGGTGCGATAATATTGATGCTACAAATGCATTTGCGGTAATTCCTCGTGAAAAAATTAATCGAAAATACGAAGTAGCGTTTTTTCATTCAAGGTTTAGTTTTCGAAAAAAATAAAGTTTGAACAATCCTCAAATTCACATACTATCCAATACAATTCGATTGACTAGACTATTCCTTTCTTATCGTTTCTACTTATTGTTACGCCCTATGAACAATCACATTAACATGAAAGTTGATTTGTTCAACACCTACCTTTCTACAACAAACACTAATTCTACAATCTTTATAACTTCTTTCTACAGTGCCAAGTGGCAGTAGTTGTCCAATAATTAATCATTCGAAGATTGGATGTAGAAAAACAAAGTCGGTATTAATGGGTTAATACGATTGAATTCGAAATAGTATAAATCAATATCATTCTGCGTTAATAGAATCAAACAATGTGTACATCCTTTTAGAAGTAACAGATTCTTCATAACATTTTGAATGCATCGGGGAAGCGGGGCGGGGGGGGGATAAAAGAGTCCAGTCGAAAGTTTGACCTAAAACTCGATTTTTTCAAGAATCCTCACTTTAAACCTCATTTTTATTACTTTAATTTATTTGTTCGTTAATGTCTATTATTTTACCTGAAAGTACTAAACTTGAAAAAAAAACGTCTACAACTTATTTCGCAAAATTCATAGTTTAGGAAATATTTCGAGTTTGAAATCACTTGGGGTTACTTGTTCCCCATGTGCGCTTCTAAGAACATTTAGGACATGTGCACTTGAAGTGTTAACGCCTTACTGATCAGTAGCCTATTAATAGACTTCAATTTCAGTACTTATAGATAAGAAGCCTCTTAATT